GTGAAAGAAGGTCACTTTGACCTCGCTGTGTCCTAAATGATTTCACATTTATCCTTAACTTTTGAGAAAGGTGGACTGGGGCATATCTTCTTTACTATTTCACCTGGAGTTACCAGATTTAGTGTACAAGGACATCTTCGTAATGTGGAGTGAGGAGTGAAAGAAAAAGGCCACTTTGGCCTAACTGTGTCCTATGCTTTGACCTTTGACATTTACTTTTGAAAAAAAGTTGGTCCGGGGCATATCTTCTCTACTATTTCACCTGGAGTAACCAGATTTGATGTCCAATGACATTTTGGGATGGAGGAGTGCATAGTGCAAGATTTAGGTCACTGTGACGTATGACTTGACCTTTGACCTTTACTTTTGAAAATATTTGTACGGGGCATATCTTCTATGCTATTTTACCTGGAGTGACCAGATTTGGTGAACAAGGACATCTTGGGATGGTGCACGTTGTAGTGAAGTAGGTCACTATGACCTCATTGTGACCTATATGCTTCCTGATATAAGTGTACTGTTTGTGTATAGAAAGTCTTACCGGTGGCCATGGGGGTCTATGGATTGCCTTGCAATTCTTTGCCTTGTTAATAAATATTTTCTATGCACAGTAGATCTTATTTCTTTTATTTTGCCCTAAATGGATCAGGCGATATATTGACAAGGGTGTTAAAATAATAGTAAATTAGCAACAACAAAAAGCCCTACATGGAATGTTTGACGGGTTTTCTTAATTGAAATACAATTTTTTTAAACTACCATTCATTTCATTTTCATGGAAGAACATTCAGCGCACGTATGTACTAAGGAGGGATTCTGTTCGTTTTGTTACCTTCAAGTTCTTAGCAGGGGCGCCGTAGGCGCCTTAAATCTACACTATCATCACAAAGGTTACTGAATTATGTGCGCTCGCTTATAGGCAGTGCCTATTTCATATTATTTACATTTTTAAACTCTCTATATATAAACCTGAAACACTTATATTGCAACACTTGATCGTGCGATTTTTGCCAGGGATGACGTCATCTTACATTTGTCGATGTGAAGCTTTAAACAAACGTCCGACTGACTTTGAATCATTTGCTTCAATGACTGCAACGCTTCAAGTGATATTCTGTCACTATTGATTTTTTTGGAAAAATACAAATACGATAGTTATAAGATAAGAGTGTGTTAGAATGTAAATATATGGATCAAACGATATGCTGGAATGTAAATATGTTGATCAAACAGAATGTTTGCGTTGTCATGACAATAAAGTATACATCGCCCAATCCCTGTTTTATGTCATATTAAGAAGAAAACATATTAACGCGAACAAAGACAAAACGTCAGTTGAATTCCGATAGTCAATATATTGATAACTTGGTTTTCATTACCCAGACACGCGTTGCATACACCATCTGAGACATATATTCAATTGTTCAATATAGTTATTCATGTTTCTGGCTTATCTACAGTTTTATCCCTTTCCTGTAGATATTGAGCAGATTTCACAAAATTATTTATTATATTTCAATTTCAAATCATTTTTATACCATTTAAACTATGATGGAATATCTTGAACTAAACCAATATGAGCCGAAATTTATTTTGAAATCGTCAATTGTTGATTGGGTACAAAGGTATTGCTGCATTTTCTTTTTCCCCTTGATATTTGTACACTTATTTCAAACGAAGAAACATGAATATGTTAACAACTGTGTAAAAAGGAAAATGGAGATTCTGTAAAATTAGTAAAATCGTTCCATGAACAAAAAAAAAACTGGGCAGTATCTATTTATTATAGGCGAAATATTTTTTTTTTTTTTATTATTATTTTAGCTATTGATAAGAAAACACTGATTTTGAAAAAAATAAAATTTGCTCTAGAGGTGGGGTCAACATTTGGCCCCCTCTTTGATTTCTTTTATTCTTTTGCCATATGCAGATACGTAAAAATGATCAATAACTGATAGATGATTATTCATAATTATAACTGATAACCGTAGTGGACCTCCTTGCATAACACCAGGTTGAGTGACGGGGGTATGCTAACAAAATGACTGATAAATGTCACAGGAGAATGTTATTTTGAAAATGAATTATGATAGTGTATAGTGCATACAATTACTGTTATTTTGATACTAAATATGTCATACTGGTATACATGAAGTAATTAATTAAGCGTAGTGATACTTTTAATTAGAAAAACATGCACATATTTTACATAGTTCAAAATATAACCAACATTGTCAACTTACAATGGTAGTCTATATTTCAAACTTCTTTAAAAACTTTTTAAGCATGACAAACATGATCAAAGGCCAATTTCACATAATCATGGAGATTTGATTATCATTGTTTTTTATGGTAAATACCGATACATTTTCTGTTTTTGTATTATACCAAAACACTTTTTTATACAACGTTTGTTTGAAAGTTATGTGCAACAGTAATAACTCATGTATATGTATTCTGCCAAAGTAATCGTTCCTCCGGAGAACTACTTAAGGTTGAGATTGTGTTATAGACAACGATATGCAATAATATAAAAATAATAATAAATTCTTAATAGTAAAACTATAATACACTTAAGTATACCGCCCGTAACGAGGTTAGGGTGGTATACTGGAATCAGCTTGTCCGTCCGTCTGTCTGTCCGTCGGGAAAAAAAATCAGGACAAATCCTTCTAAAGTCAGGGACAAATTTCAACAAAAGTTCCCAGATATGATAACTACCACCTGCAGTTTTGCATGCAGGTATTATTTTTTTTCATTCTGACCCTTATTTTACAAAGTTATGGCCCTTTGTTGAAAAATCTTTGTTCGGACATGCCCTCCAAAACCAAGGTGTCAATTTCAACGAAAGTTTTCAGATATGATAACTACTACCTGGTGTTGTGTATGCAGATATTGTTTTTTCAATCTGACCCCTTTTTTACGATTAAATGACCCTTTTCAACGGAAGTTTATAGATATGGTAACTGTCCCCTGACATTGTGCATCCAAGTAGTACGTTTTCACTCCGACCATTTAAGAGGAGTTATAGCCCTTTATTGAAAAAAAACTCTGTCTGCCTTATAAACTACAGGGCCGATTTCAATGAAAGTTTACAGATATGGTGATTACCCCCTGATGTCGTGCATCAGGGTGGTATTTTTCCATTTCGACCATTTTAAAGGAGTTATGGCCATTTGTTAAAAATCTTTGACTTGACAACTCTTTCTTAACTACTAGGACGATTTCAGCAAAATTGGTTCATCTGGGCTAACAAAATTTGGTATGTAAGAATGTTTGTCGTTGGGAGGGAGTACAGGAAGTAAGTCAGTGACCTATGTACTTAAATAATTACCGATGGGTGACTATGGATTGCTTTACAATGCTTTGTGTAAGTTAGCCCTTTACTTACAGTTCTGGATTATATAGGAGCGGGTGGTATTAGTTATCCTTTGGCTAACAGTTCTAGTTATTATTTTATTTTGCCTATTGCCCTTTCACTAATCAAAACATGAAGGAATATTATCTTATTTTATATCGTTAACTCTAAACAAATAAAGCAAGAAAAAATATCCTTGTCTGACTCCCCATACACACATCTAATTCTAGCAAATTTGATTTTGTGACCTTGAACGAAGGTCAAGGTCATCAATGTTTACAAAACTTAAATCCATTCAAATGAACAACCGACTTGCCAAATATCAAGACCCAATGGCCTTCGGTCATGAAGAAACACAACTTAAAGGAAAAGTGGAAAGAAAGCTATGTTTTTCTTTTTTTTTTTGAATTGAAAGAGTTATATGACAAAGCCGGTTGTAATTTCTTTTGAAATTCCTAGTGTTGAAAGTTATTATTAGTAGCCAAAGTGCAAGCAAGTATGAAAAATAGACTGGTTTTAAAACTATGTAAATGAACGTGTCAAAAAAAGGAAATTTTCTCATTAGTAATGAAATTTCACATGCTTTTCTGCTTTAATATTCAATAAAGAGAACAATTCTTTCTTGAAATAGTGTAATATTTGGTATCAAAATAACAGTTGGAATATATTGCACACAATGATGATATAATTTTAAGGTAATTGGGCCATTTAAATGCTCTAGGAGGAATTGTATTACCGCACCTTTAACACTCACACAGGTGTAAGTCAATGAGGTCCCATTTGTCATAAAATGAATTCTGAAAATAACTGTTCCTGATTTAAGCTTCCAATACCCATACCTTTTTGTATTTATATTGTTTTGAAATTCCAAGCGAGGGCCGACTCTAATGTTAAGTTGCATTGTCTTCAGAACTATTGTTTATTATCCCATAGGTAGCAACTACAGCCAATTTTATGCAGTTACTTCCCCTTATGGACAAAATGCTGTTTGATTTTAGTATAAATCCTGCCCAGGTAAAATGGAAAAAACGCAAATATATCTAGACAGTCAGCCTAAGTATGCTGTCGAAGAGAAATATTTCTATTTATATATTGGTTTTAAGCTAACAGTATTGGTAGTCTGGTAAAAGTACGTTGGATACAGCGAAAAAAGCCCCTCAATGATTAAGTGGGATAGACAGCGCAAGTAGTGATAAATAAGAATATATGAAATATAAACAATTTACAACAACAATAAAACAAGTTAAATTAACTTATATTAAGCGTTCTTGTCGGACAGACAGAAGCGCACAGAGTGTCTTAAGTTTGGAGGAAACCGGTCCGATCGGGGAATCGAACTCTGGCCGTTTTTTGGGGGGAAGTCGAGTGCGTTATTCATTGCGCCATCCGACTACCTAATATAAATATACACACTTCTCCAGTGTATAACTCGGTAATTACCATTGACAGACAAAAATTCGTGATCAAAGATAATACAGCAGGAAGCAGACACAATGCAAAAACGGAAAAGGATCAAGTGCAGGAAATTTCAACATGATATGGATCCGATGTAGACAATACACACTATTTTCATGTCTACAAACATTTGTCTAGTGTACGTTATGCATTGTAAGTGCTGTACTCGTGAATTCCTAGTTCTTACCTTTACTAATCCCGACAAGGTTGTCATGGACGCTGGCGTTTGAGTAGTTAAGGAACTGCACGACAACGCTCGTGGTCACCAATAAAATACCAGTGTATAGAAGCTGTTTGCGGATTGGTCTCCTCATCCGACACCACGCCATCTCCAACGCATAGCTTATACACCTCCAAATCTGTAAAATAAGAACCTCTTTAAAGCGAAATTCTCTATATAGGGGCACCTTGATCGTCCATCTCACGAATAGCTTATACACCTCCAGGTCTGTAAAGTATATAAACCTCTCTTATGCGACATTCTCTGTTTCGGGTACCTAGAGCATCCACATCACGCATAGTTTATACACCTCCCGATCTGTTACAATAAAAACCTCTATAAAGCGACATTCCTTGCACAGGGGCGCATACAGTGTCCAGCTCACGTATAGTGTTTACACCTCCCGATCTGTAGCATAAAAACCTATTTAAAACGAAACTTCTATAAAGTGGTACAAAAGTCATGTCACTAACATATTTTACACACCTCCTTATCTGTAACAAAAAGCCTCTATAAAGCGACATCCTGTGTATAAAGTGACATCTAAAGAGGTAATATCTCGCCCAAAGTTTATACGCCTCTCGATTTGTAAATGAAACCTCTATAAAGCGACAATCTGTATATAAAGGGGAACCTGCAGTGGTCATGTAATGCACAGTTTATACTCCTCCCCATTTGTTACTTGTAAACCTCTGTAAAGCGACAACTTTTACATAGTAGTGTTTACAGAAGTCACATCCCACGCAAACTGTATACACTTCTTAACGTGGAACATGAAAACCTCTCTAAACCAACAACCCCCTTTGACATCCATGAATGTTGTATCACATGAATACTTTCTACAGTGCAAAATGCAATACTTCTGTAATAATTTACTGAACATGATGTCTCTGTCAGGATTGATGTAATGCAATGTCCCCGTAATAATTGACTCAATGACATGCCCCTGTAATAATTGACTCAATACCATGCCCCTGTAATAATGGACTCAATACCATGCCCCTGTAATAATTGACTCAATGACATGCCCTTGAAATAATTGACTCAATACCATGCCCTTGTAATAATTGACTCAATACCATGCCCCTGTAATAATTGACTCAATACCATGCCTCTGTAATAATGGACTCAATGACATACCCCTGTAATAATTGACTCAATACCATGCCCCTGTAATAATTGACTCAATGACATGCCCCTGTAATAATTGACTCAAT